CAATATATATTGGAGCATTTAGTTACAGAATTGTTGAAGATGGAAGGGACATCTGGAGATAATCAAGACGAACCCGTTGCTCAAAGCAGGGTCAGCTAGAGCAGGTTGCCCAGGACTGTTGCCAGTCTGGTTTTGTATACCTCCAATGCAGACACCACAACCTCTCTGGGCAATGTGTTCCCATGTTTCATCACTCTTACAGTGAAAAAAGCTTTTTCTTATGTTTAAATGTATTTTAGTTTGTGCCCATTGACTCTTGTCACTGGATGCCATTGAGAAGAGACTGGCTCAGTCTTCTGTACACCCTTCCATCAGATATTCATGCACATGGATCAGACCTTCCTGAGCCATCTCTTCTCCAGGCTGAACAGCCCAGGCTCTCTTAGCCTCTCCTCCTATGCCAGATGATCCAGTCCCTCAGTCGTCTTTGTGGCCCCTTGCTGCTAGGGCCCCCCCCCATGCTAGTCCTCTCATTGAGGGAGGCTCTTGGGCTGCTCAGGCATGATTTCCCTTTTGTGAATCCACGCTGACTGCTCCCATTGCCTCCTTGTCCTTTTTTGTGTGTTGGGAAATGGTTTCAAGGAGGGTTTGCTCCATCACCTGCCTGGGGGTGGTGGTGAGGCTGTCGAGCCTGTAGTTCTCTGGATGCTTATCCTTGAAGAGGGGAATTATGTCTTTTCCGTCCTGAACACTTGTAAAGGGTTACAGAAACTTCAAGTGGGACTGAAACAACAGGCTCCAACATTTATATATAAATCACAGAAAAATCTATGCACTTGCACACGTACATAAAACCATACAAGGTATATATGAATCTGAAGGATGCTGCATGGCTTCAGTGCAGAGGTTAGAGCGGACCCTGTTCTGCTTGTTGAGGATTTCAACATAGGAAACCTGCTCTTAAAAGTTGGTTGTTCCCCTTTACACAAGGCTCATGGACCAATAGGCCTCCTACAGGTCTTTCTGGCTGTTGGCAAATCCTTAACACTGGCTGAAAGCAAAGCTGTGTTTTGGGGTGGTTGTTTTTTTTTCCCCTGTGAGGGCAGAGCTGCTGCCATTACACTGTGCTAGATTCTATTTGCTTGAACTCATGCTATCCTTAATTCACAGTAAAGTGAATGCTACCTTTCCCTCAGAACCCCTACCTTATCTGGTGGTGCTGTAAAGGAAGCAAAGTCTAAACTGTTTTTGCTTTTCCACAAGTGCTCTTGTGCTTTGAGTCACAGTTATTTTTCTGGACACAAACATAATTATACCGTGAGCCTCTTCTCACTGACCACCCTGAGTTCTTCAGTTTTGGAGGCATGGCTCCCTGATGCTCCTGTTATCCCTGGATTATGCGCTCATTTTGCTTCCTTCCTTTCCTTCTGACTTCAGGCCTTTCCCCAGAACTTTCCTTCCCAGGTTGGGCTGGGGTAAAGCAGAGGCAAGGAGAGGCTCCACCTGCCCCATGCGTGGGCTAGCCAGAATTCCCCAGTGGATTACCACTGCAAAGATGAGACTAGCACTACTGATCTATAAATGCATAAACTGTTTCCCAACTGAGGCCCC